CCCCCCCCCCCCAATTCCTCAGTATTTACTCAGGAACAATTTTTACATAGAAACTTTACAGTGATCTTTTCAGCTGGTCAGGGTAGCATGTGCCTGCAATTCCAGGACCTTAGGAGGCAGAGCAGGAGGATTGCAAGTTTAAAGCCAACCTGGGCAACATAGTGAGGCCCCCGCAACCCCTAAACCAAAAAAGCTCTTTTATGATGATATTAAATAATGTAGTCATCCATTATTCTTTGTTGTTGTTGTAGTGAGGATAGGACCCAGGGCTTTTGTATTGAGCTATATCTAAGCCCTTTTTTATTTTGAGGCAAGGACTGGTTAAATTGTTCAGACTGTGTTTGAATTTGCAATCTTCTTGCCTCAGCCTCCCAGAGTGTTCTTTATCCTTTTTATCACTGCCCATATGAATTCTGGTTTCTTTTTCTCTTCCCTTCCTCCCCTCCCCTTCAGTCCCCTCCCCTCATAATTGCTTTATTGGCTGCTAATATTTTTCAGAACTTACCCAGTCCTGATTCAAGGAGAGACATCAGTTGGTAAAACAAGCCTGATCCGGTGGCTATCTGCAGCTACTGGCAACCACTGCGTGCGCATAAACAATCATGAACACACGGATATTCAGGAGTACATTGGTTGTTACACATCTGACTGCTTAGGGAAGCTTGTCTTTAAAGAAGGTAAAGTTCACTTTTAGACATAGTTCCCTAAGTAATAGTTTTCATTCTTTTTAAATGGGGCTCATCAACCTCTGCCCTGAATCACAGATAGGGGGTGATGGTTAGGAGGGACTGGTTTCCTTTGGATCCCACTAATCTTGCCATCATTGTGTACAGAACTATGGTCAGATTTTGAAGAAAGCATTTAAACTACTGCTTCATTTTCTAGAGATTCAAAGAATGCAGTAAGTCTTAGGGAAGTTAAGAATAGATGAGAGGATTTGATGATTAAATGAAAATAGGTTGCAGGGAAAAATTAACTTTGGAAAAGAGGTATTTGCAAGCCCTGGCTCTTCTGCTCTGGGTAAAAAGAAAGGGACTTTTAATTGATAATTGTGCTTTCACAATGTGTAGTGACACAGATTGTTGGGGCAGAGGGCAGCTTGCTTTAAAATTTAGTGATCTAGGGTTTGCCGGTTTTTATACACATTTTAAAACATTGATTTATACACTCATTCTCAGCATTCATTTCCTCCTAGGTGTTCTTATAGATGCTATGAGAAAAGGCTATTGGATTATCTTAGATGAATTAAATTTGGCTCCTACTGATGTGCTAGAGGCACTAAACAGACTGTTGGATGATAACCGTGAATTGCTCATAACAGAAACGCAAGAAGTTGTTAAAGCTCACCCTCGGTTCATGCTTTTTGCCACCCAAAATCCCCCCGGGCTTTATGGAGGCAGAAAGGTATATATCCCATGCCCCCTCTCTTCTGTTCATTACCATATCAAACAAATCTTTCTTGGCCGAAATGAGACAGTGTTTACCTCTATTGAGTTTTTCTTTTTGTGTTGAACACCAGGGGCTGTAATTTAGGAATTAGACCAAAGCCTCATCACAGTATTTTTCTGTGTATTTCCTAGGTGCTTTCTAGAGCCTTTAGGAATAGGTTTGTGGAATTGCACTTTGATGAATTGCCTAGTCCTGAGCTGGAAACAATTTTGCACAAGCGGTGTAGTTTGCCACCCTCCTATTGCACCAAATTGGTTAAAGTCATGCTGGACCTTCAGGTATTTTATATCTTCATCACTGTACTTAGTTTCAGATGGAATGTGTTGATTAAATTGGTGGTGAAAATTTTATAGCTTGTTTGGGTAAAAATGAGTCCATTCATTTATTTTTATAGACTTAAGCAGTTTTTTGTTGTTGTTTTGGTTTTTTGAGACAGGATCTCACTATGTATGTAGTTCAGACTGACCTTGAACTTGCTATGTTGCCCAGGCTGGCCTTGAACTCACAGGGGTCCTCCTGCCTCAGCCTTCCAAGTGCTGGGATTACAGGTGTGTGCCACCACACCTGGCCTGGGGCCTTACTTTTTTTTAATGCATTTTATTAATACCCAGTTTTTGTTAATTCCTATTTTATTTCATTGATGGGGACTGAGCCCAGGTTCTTGTGCATGCTGAGCATATGCTGTACCACTGAACTGCATCCTCAGTCCCCATTTTTTGATTCTTTTATTAAGCAGCAGTTTTACATCATAAAATTTTCTCCTGAAATTTATATAAGAAGACAGTTCCCTATTTGTATGTAACTTGGAGTAGTTTGCTTAGGATAAAATTTGGCATATGCAAAGTACAATTTTTATGTTTTAAATAAATATAATGTGGGTTATTTCCATACTTATGGAAATTTGATTGAACACAACAAAGGATCTTTTGCGGTTCTCCCTTGTCAACTTCAAATCTATAGTTAAATTTTTTAAAAATCTGATCTTCTAAGCAGCCAAATTTACAGTTGTATACCACGGTACTCAACTCCTTTGATTTTTTTTTTTTCAAGAGACATTTTATGGAGTTATAAGTGTTGTTAGGAAGTATATGTTGTTAAATTACTTTCCAGAAGGTAAGGCACAATTCTCTTAACATTGTGGTCCATATTGGGGAACTAACCTCCTTGGATCTTTGATGCCATATGTATTATTATTTACCTTTTCTGTATGGGATATAAGATGAAATTCTGTTATTTATATTTATATGTGAGTTTGACTATTTTTCTTCACATGATTATAGTGTTTCTGGATTTCTGAAAAATGTATTTAGTAGAATAAAATTTTATTGGATGCTTAAATGTTAAAAACATAAGTTATAGTACATGACTACCATTAAGCACAACCAATGGCCTTTCTTATTTGGTTTGACACTTCACTAGTCCTACCGCAGAAGTTCTTCAGTGTTTGCTGGAAAGCAGGGCTTCATCACCCTTCGGGATCTATTCCGATGGGCTGAACGGTACAGATTGGCGGAGCAGACTGAGAAAGAATATGACTGGCTACAGCATTTAGCCAATGATGGTATGTTTTCAAAGTATAAAGTTATGTTAAATGTCATATTTTCTGTTAAGACATTTCTTGCCCAAGTTGTGGTTGATATACATGTTTTCCTGGGTATTCCAGAAAAGCCCTGTCTCCATCAGTTCCTCACTGCTTTTGTAAGAGGTTCCTATTCTTTGTGTTTTTTTTGCTACTGGGGATCAAACTCAGGACCTTGTGCTTGTGAGTCGTGGGGTTGCGATTCTTGCAGGTGGTAATGCTGCTATTACATCAGTTACTAAATTTTTTATACTCTTTGCTTCAGGTGTTAACGTGTGGGAGTCTCAGTGTGGCCGTAGCCCTGTTGTGAGTTTAGGCAGGTGGTTGCAGGTAGCTCTGTAGGCCACAGATAGTCCAGACTCAGGTTTGGTCATTTTAGTTTAATTCATGAGAATAATTTATTTGTTATTCTCCATTAATAGCAGAGAAAGCATTTTGAGATCTTCTGATTTAAGAAATCAGATGAATCATTAATGGGGTATTTTAATAAGGTAAATAAATAAAACTAGTCCATGAACATTCTGGTTTTTTCCTCTCTTTTTAAACAAAATTGTCTCCCTCTTTTTAGAAAAAAAATTGTTTTGTCATTCTGGTAATTGAATCCCAGACCTTGCTTGTGCTTTATCATTACACTACATCCCTTGATCTTTTCTTTTCTCTTCTTTACTGGTAAAGAATAGAGAAGAAAGAACACAATTCTTAAAACTTTGTATTGGAATAAAATATATGGTAAGGCATTTTTATATATGTATATACCAATGCAAATCACCACTTCTACTGAGATCGAGTATTTCCACACCTCAGAAGGGTCCTTCTTGTCTCATGTGAATGGGGATAACCACTGCTGTGATTTGTGTCACAACTGATTGATTTTTGTCTGTGCATAAGATTCATCTAAAAGGAATCATGCAGTATACTTTTGAGTATGACTTTCTCACCCAACCTGATGTGACGTTCAGCCGTATTGTTATGCTTGTCAAGAACTCATCATTTTTGTTATGTGGTTACCCATTGTATAGAGATAATAGTTTATCCATTCTCTTGTTCATAACTATTTGGATCATTTCAGTTTTTAGCTGTTATGAATAAAGGTGTTCGGAACATCCCTGTATATGTCTTTCATCTTTTTTTGGTACTGGAGATCAAACTCAGGACCTTGTGCTTGCAAGGCACGGTGCCACTGAGCTAAATCCCCGGCCCTTTGTATATGTCTTTTGAAGCATACATGTGTTAGTTTTGTGTTTTTGGTTCCTACTGATCGTATTGCTGGGGCTAGAATAGGCTCTCCTAGTTTTTCAAAATAGTTCTTAAGATTTCCCCTCCACCAGCATGTGAGAATTGCTGCTGCTTCATATTCTCACCATACTTTAGTATTACCACCATACACTTGATGGCTCCTCTTTTTTTCAATCCTTAGGTTTTATGCTTCTGGCAGGGCGAGTCCGGAAGCAAGAAGAGGTTGATGTGATTCAAGAAGTCCTTGAAAAACATTTCAAGAAAAAATTGTGTCCTCAATATCTTTTCTCCAAAGATAATGTCCTAAAATTACTGGGTGAGTAGATCAAAAACACCAGAGGAGAATAAGTCAAGTTGTATTGTTAGAACCTAAATATTTATTTTACCTTGGATAGGTAAATTTTCTACCCAGATATCTACATTGGAGCCTGATAAGTTCAGCCATATTGTGTGGACTGAGGGCATGCGCAGACTGGCAATCCTGGTGGGAAGGGCATTGGAATTTGGCGAACCAGTCCTGCTGGTTGGAGACACTGGGTAAAGTTCTGTGACATTAACTCATCAAGAGATTTCAGTTTGGTTCCATATGATTATTTGAGTTACCTCTGAATGACTCATTATAAAACTTTTGTGATTTCTCTTCATTTTCTCCTTTTTCTTAAAGGGACAAGATGTTTCCTTTACCTTCACCATTAGACTTTATTCATGGAAATTTTGTCATTATCATTGGGGGCTATTTTTGTCTAATTCTTTTAAATGGGGAGATTGATCTGATAGGTATGTGTGAAGGAGACAGTTGAGAAACTAGTATCTCCTGAAGGTCGATAAGGATTAGATTTTTTTTTTTTTTTTGGGACCGGTGACCGAACTCGGGTGCTTGTGCTTGCACAGCAGGCAGTGAAACCACTGAGCTAAATCCCCGGCCCAGGATTAGATTTCTTTCACCTTCCCTCCTTTCCTTCCTTAGTGGTTGGTACAAGTAGGAAAGGATGGAATTTGTTCAGTACATGTTCGTCTGGATAATGAGTATGGGAGAGCATTAGTGTTTTGCAAAGGGGCACTGTGAGCCAGAGGTACAGAGGTCCTGCATTGGTTAGCACTGTCTCCTGTCACAGTGAGATTCTCACCACGGTTATCCCCTTTTGCTTCGGGATGTTTGTGAATATATGTTTGGAACCCATACTTCTTGTTAAACTGGTGTGTATTTCTAATAGGTGTGGGAAAACTACAATTTGCCAGATATTTGCAGCCTTAGCAAATCAGAAATTATACTCAGTCAACTGCCACTTAAACATGGAGACATCGGACTTCCTAGGAGGGCTACGGCCAGTGAGACAGAGGCCAAATGACAAGGTTTGTCCAGTAGCATATGTTGATCTGTACAAAGAACTTCAGTTACCATGAGTCAGCTATGGGATTTTGTGCATGGTGAGGTTGGTTTCTGTACCCAAGTTCTGTTTTGATAAGTATAGTACATATACAGAATCTATCACAAAAAAAAGTATATATCAGGGAAAGAAGACTTGTATACAAGTATTTTAATACTAAATTTTATTGACACATCATGAGATTAATTACAAGATGTGCTCAAAGTGGTGGCCGTTAGCTTCCAGACATTTATTAGTAGAGCAAACTGCTGAAATGTGTATACAGTTTTTTGGAGGACTCTGATTTCTTGAGATTTTTATTGGTATTTATTGGTATTGGGATTTTTATTGGTATTTGGCCTGGTTCTCAATTTTTGTCCCCTATTCTCAGACTCTTACTTCTTACAGAGTGACCATTTTACCCCAGCAGGTAACACATAGCTGTGTACATTGTCTTGTGAAGCCACCTACTTATTCATTTTCCCCACTTCGTTGCCAATTGTAGGAAGAAATCGACACATCAGGACTCTTTGAGTGGCATGATGGGCCTCTGGTTCTGGCTATGAAAGAGGACAGCTTTTTCCTCTTGGATGAGATCTCATTGGCTGATGATTCTGTCTTGGAAAGACTCAACAGGTACATATATGAGAGACTTGCCCTGTGTGTGATGTTTTTGTTGGCCTGGTTTTTACAAATATCCAGTCATATCCACACTCCTCGTGAGTACAAGATAAATGTTAGGAAAGTTGATGAGTCATTACTTTTGGCTTTAGCACTCGAATATCTTTAAGAAATCTAGTTTTCATCATTTAATTTTCAAAAGGAAATACCCAGAAAGATGGGACTATGACATGGCAAGATTAAAACAAATAGCCTAAATTAAAATTATTTTTTTAAGGCAACATATATGCATACTTTCTTAATGTTTTCAAAGAGCTAGCATCATACTCCTAGGTCTTATGGTCATAAGTTATCTCAGTATCTCAAACTAATGTTAGTCTTGATGTAGTAATACCAATTTTTTTCTCTCCTTATTGGGGTATAATGTATAGATCATAAAATGTACCCATTTAAAATATGTACAGTGATACCTTGGTTGTTGAATGACTCCAAGCTCAAACTTTCTACTACTTGAACAGTAAAGTTAAACAAAAATTGGGTAGGTGTTTGTAACTTTACTCAATAGCAAAAATTCAACTTGAAAAAACCAGTACTGGCCGAGAGTGACTCACACATTGGATCTCAGTGCTAAAACAAAGGACTGTCACTTCATTCTAAGCACTGGTCTTGCCCAGACAACATGTAGTGCTTGTGTTCGTGCATCAAACATTCATTATTGTGCTTTTTTCTTTTTATTGGCACTTTATTTGTATAAAATATCGTAACCATGGCTCCAAAGAAACTTAGTGATACCAACAGTAAAGCTAAGAGGAAAACTGTGAGAACCACGATAGTTAAAGAAAGCATTGTGAAATTTGTTAATGTCCTGAAAAAATGACTTTATAAGTGTAATTTTTGGGTCTCAAAACCAATTATTTCATTTTCCATTGTTTCTTTCTTTCTTTTTTTTTTCTTTTGGTACTGGGGATTGAACTCGGGTCCTTGTGCTTAGTGCTCAACAGGTGGCGAAACCACTGAGCTAAATCCCTGCCCCTTTCCATTGTTTCTTATAGGAAAAATATGTTCAGTTCTTAAGAACTTTTCAGTGTTCAAACACAAATTTAGAACAAATTGAGTGTGACAACCCAGATATCACTGTATTTCAGTGATAGTAAGTTTACTGAGTTTTGTAAGCATGACAATCCAGTTTTACATTTCCATAATCCAGTAGGTTTCCTTGTGCACATTATATTTAATTCCTGGTTCTGTCCTCTCTAGGCAATCATAATCTACTTTCTTTGCCTAGAGATTGGTCTTTTCTGAATCTTTCGTATAAATGGTTTCTTCTCTCGTTTTATATCATTGAGATTGATTCATGTTGCAGCATATATCATTAATCTTTTCTTTTTCATTCCTAATAGTGGACATCTCATATTTTGTTTACTCTATTCACTATTTTTTTTTTTTGGTACCGAGGATCGAACTCAGGTCCTTGTGCTTGCACAGTAGGCGGTGAAACCACTGAGCTAAATCCCCGGCTCTATTCACTATTTAATGGTACTTGAGTTGTTAGCACTTTTTGATTGTTATGGATAATGTTGTCATGAACATTTGCACGGCAGATACCTATTATTAAGACAAATGCTATAATAGGGCATATTTGGAAAAAGGAGTTATTTTTCTCTTGACCAGAAATACGTTCCACTACACAGAAACTGGGATAGTGAGTCATATTAAAATTTATGATAGGAAACCATTAACTAAAGTGAAAGAGATAACCTTTTCATGAATGGCAAAGACTGTAAAATAGAACATGTAAACATTTTACAATTTTCTCCAATTTTTCTTCTAGTGTCCTTGAAGTAGAAAAATCTCTGGTATTAGCTGAAAAAGGCAGCCCAGAGGACAAGGATAATGAGGTAGAACTGTTGACTGCTGGGAAAAATTTTCGTATTTTAGCAACCATGAACCCTGGTGGCGACTTTGGAAAAAAAGAGGTAAAATTGTTTCATGAAGCATAATTTCTTCGTGTGTGTGTGTGTGTGTGTGTGTGTGTGTGTGTGTGTGTGTGTGTGTTTTTTATTTT